GTCAGAGCGGGAGGCGTACCCACAGCCAGGGTATTTCAGACCTCTGGCTGGGGAGACGTGGTTGATGGTATTGGTTGACCCCATTGGCTGAGTTAGGCTCATCTGTGTTCTGTACCTCAAGTGGGTTTGTCCAAGACATTGGTTTTACCTGGGCCTAGGGCCCTTGTCTGGGCCTGGTCAGTTAGGGGTCTTCATAGGTGTCAAATGGTTGCCTGATGTCTTTCCAACTTCCACTATGGGGGCCTTTGAAGGCATGGGAGTGACGACCCCCCCTGTCCCTCAGCTACCTACCTAACCTAATCACTATGCCCCAGGGCTCCTGAGAACCCGACTGACAGCAGGAAGAAACACCCCCTCACGGTTGTCTGTGTTGGAGTCCATGCTTGCAGCCACCGTGTCCGTCCATCTCCCACGTCTCCCCGCCCCTCCGTTGTACCAGGCACGATGCCCTTCTCCAGGGACTGGTCTCCCCCGACAACACCTCCAGAGTATGTGAGATGCGGTCTCAGCATCCTCACCTCTAGGGAGCATGCTGGTGTCCTCCAGGACAGAGGTGTTTGCTCTGCGGACAATCCATGGTATTTCAGTGTTCTGCGCCGGCACCGTAATTGGAGACAGGCATTCCCATGTAGGCCCTGGTGACACCGTGGGTTATTCACCGGGCTGCTCGCCGCAGGACCAGCAGGGTGAAACCACGGGAAGCTTTGGGGGAGAAAGACGTGGCTTTCTGTCCCGTAAGGAGTTGAGTCTCGGAAACCCACCGGGGCTTCTACTCTGTCCTGTGGAGGGGCTATGAGTCAGGATAACAGCGCTTTTGCTTCCGAGTCATTTCCATTTGACAGCGTTGGGAACTGAGATCTGGAGATGCCAGGGCCTCTAGAACAGAGGTTCTCAACCGTCCTAAGGCTGCGACCCTTTAACACAGTTCATGGGGTGCTGACCCCCCAACCATAAAATTATTTTCGTTGCCACTTCATCACTGTCATTTTGCTACTGTTATGAATCAGTTCGACCCCCAAAGGGATTGCGACCCACAGGTTGAGAACCACTGCTCTAGAAGATTCAAATCAGAACTTGGGGGTTCTTAGCTTCCTGGTCTCCAGGCCTTAGGTAGGGCTGATGGCAGCCAGGTGAGGGCAGGCAGGTGGAGGTGGAGTGCCTCTCACTGAGCCCTGCTGAGGTTCAGAGCTACGAGGACTCCTGCCTGGCCCTGCGCCCCATCTAAGGTGCCTGGGCAGCAAAACATTTGCTCCGGGTTCCTAACTGGAAGGTGGGTGCTGTGGGTTCCCCCAGCAGCAGGTGTAAGGAGGGCCTGGTTACCGCAGGATGACAGTCAAGAAAGCCCCACGGAGCTTTCTTCTCAGTGACCCACAGGGTCACCGTGAGTTCAACAGTGACGAGATGCGGCGAATTTGGAGTTTGGGTTCTTGGTTGTAGGTTGCATCCCCAGTGCCTCCTCCTCCAGGAAGCCCGTCCCAGGCTGACCTTTTGTAGGTTAGACTGGCGCTCAGACTCTGGGTGGTAAGGGCCGGGGAGGGGGTGTTCCTGAGGGGTGTGTGCAGCAGATGTGTCCTTGGTGGGCAACAAAGGGACCCATCTAGCTCTCGGGATCCCTGGGAGCCTGGTGTGTGGCACAGTGGGGCTGACAGAGGGCATGGACTGGCTGGGGGAACCTGCAGTGCCCTTACCCACCCCTTCCTTCCTGGCCCTCTGTGCTGTCCCCAGGATCCGGGTGCCCTCCTGAGAGCTCCAGACAAGCCGCTGCCTGTCCCTGCCCCTGCCTGAGTCATGTCACTCCTTTTGCACTGCAGAATCATGGCGGCTGAGGAGCTGCACTGGCCCGTGCCCATGAAGGCCATCGGTGCCCAGAACCTGCTAACCATGCCCGGGGGTGTGGCCAAGGCCGGCTACCTGCACAAGAAGGGAGGCACCCAGCTACAGCTGCTCAAATGTGAGTCCTCAGGTTGGTCCCAGCAGAGTCCCCTAGGCGGGGCCTGGTGGAGGTGGGGCATCACAACAGGCTGGGGGCCTGGCAGGGGCAGGGCAACAGGCCTGGGCAGGGCCTGCAGCACAGTTTGGGAAGAGCTGGGCGGCAAGCGTGGGTGGGGCCTGGAAGGGGTGGGGGTTTGGCAGATGTGGGGTAGTAGAGCCTGGCTGGTCCAGAGCTGGGCCATGTTGGGCTTCCACAGACAAACCACCACCCTCTCTGAGCCTTTGCTTCCTTACCCAGTGTCTCATAGGACCTCCCCCTACTGCAGCATGGAGACGGGGGTCTGGGGGTGATTCTTGGTCACAAATGAGGAAGGTCCCGGTGACCTGGCAGGTCTGGTCCTGGGGAGGGGCCCTCCCTCATTCAGTCCAGTTGCTCCACAGCGAACCAGGTGCCAGCCGAGCCCCGGCTGGGCAGCAGAGCTTGGGCCTTTTCCCAGAGCTGTCCAACCGGAGGCTGCTCACAGGAGGGCTGCCGGGCATGCTCTCTGGCTCCTGGCACTGCGCCTTGTCCCCACTCTTACTGCTGGCCCCAGGGGAGCCATCCCTGGCTTCCCTGCTCCCGGGGGGGGGGGGGGCCTCATCCTGGCTCTGGCTCCCTCTGGCCAGTTTCCAACGCTGGTGCCCAGGGCCCTGGTGACTCCACCCAGCCCATGAAGGGGTCTGCATTGGGCCCCCGGTAGGCTTCTAGGGAGGGCCCACCTGCCCAAGTCCACTCCCTCCATCCAGAGAGCTCTTCGATGGGGTTCCCTGGGGAGCCCTGGGCTGTCGGTTTAGCCCTGCCTGCCTGCGTCCCCAGGCCAAACCCTCCCTCTCTAGAGCGGGGCCAGGGGGGGGGTCACCCGGGGTGTCCTGGCCCCTCGGCTCAGCCCTCCCCACCGCCTGCAGGGCCCCTGCGATTCGTCATCATCCACAAGCGCTGTGTCTACTACTTTAAGAGCAGCACATCTGCCTCCCCACAGGGCGCCTTCTCATTGAGCGGCTACAACCGGTGAGTGTCCACAGTGTCCCACCGGCTGGACCCAGCTGTGAGAGGCTGAGCGAGCATCTGAAATGGTCTCCGTCCTCGTCCCCATAGGCCACACCTGGCCACTGCTGCCTCCATGACCTTGCCTTGGTCCCCATCTCCCTTGGTCTCTGCTCCTGAAGCCCCTGTCTCCAGCCCCCCTGGGGGACTTCCTGTGCCCCTGCCCAGCCTGTGCTTCCTGGCCTCACGGGGTGCTGTGGGCCAGACTAGGGGCCTGGGGCACTTTGAGCAGGGTCGGCCAATACATGTGGATCCAGTTCTCCTCCCGGGATCTACTTCCCTGTGCCCTGATGGCCCCTTTCTCCAGTGCGGGCCCAGCCCTTCCTGCCCATGAGAAATGGAAGCAGGGATATGCCCAGGGTCACTTGGTATTAGTGGCCCGTCTAGGACCCTCAGGAAGATTCCTGGACTACTTGGTAGAACAGTCTTGCTGAAGCCCAGGCCCAGCCTAGGGCACCAGGACAGGACAGGCTCTGGGACCCTGTGGTGCTGGGGGCAGGCTCTGACGAGGGCCATTAATTTTCCCTTTGCTGGACCCCAGCCAGGCCTGAGGGACCCCCCCACCCCCACTGGCAACCTCTTTGGTTTCTATTGAAACCCCATATCTGGCAGGGAGCAGCCGTGGGGCAGGCATGAGTCACGAGGTTCCCTGAAGTCCTGGGGAGGAGTGCTGCTGGGGTGTGGGGGCTGGACCGCAGGATGCCCAGGCCAAGCCCGGGCTGGCTATGCAAGGGCGGCGACCCTGGCAGGCAGCTGTGGTGGGCATCGGTGGGCAGTGGTCGTTGAGGGGTCTTCTGAGAGTCTGCGTGGATCAAGGATAGGGCTGCTAGCAGGCAGGGGCATTGGTCTGAACGGGCCCAGGTGGCAACTGCAGCTGCGGTGTCCACAGGGTGATGCGGGCAGCCGAGGAGACCACGTCCAACAACGTCTTCCCCTTCAAAATCATCCACATCAGCAAGCGGCACCGCACGTGGTTTTTCTCTGCGTCCTCAGAGGATGAGCGCAAGGTGCCAGGGGGGGGGTGCCCCACTGGGGTCCCTGCCGGCCAGCCTGCACCGTGGGGGGGAGGGTGAAGTGAAGGCCTGCCCGTGTGCCCCTCTCACTGTGGTCCTGCTGCCCCCAGAGTTGGATGGCCCTGCTTCGAAGGGAGATTGGCCACTTCCAGGAGAAGGAGCTGTCCCTGGACGGCAGGTAGGCTGTGGCTGGGGGGCAGGGTGGGTGGGCCACTGGGCTGGGGTGCCCAGGCGTGTTAGGGAGGGGCGGTGTTTCTGGGGTGGCAGCCAGAGCAGGTGTGTAGGTGAAAGCATACAAGTGTACAGTACCAACGTGCACAGGTGTGTGCACAAGTGTGTGGGTGTATGCTCCCTGGCATGTCTGTGTCCAGATGTCTGCTGTCCTTGTCCCTGTATTTACCCGTGTGCCGGGTGTGTGTGTGGCCACATCTGTGTGTCTATCTGAGAGTCGGTGTGTCTGTGCATTGCTAGGTGTGCTGTGTGCTGTGCGTGCCTGTGCCTGTCTGAGAAGCCTTGTCTGTGTGTGTGTCCTCGTGTGTGCACACCCATACTCTGTGTGCATGCATGTACCCCACCCAGGCCACGCTCATGCCCACCTCTGCCCCCGGTGCTCAGTGGGTGAGAGTTTGTGTATGTGTATGTGTGTGTGTGTGTGAGTGTGTGTGTGTGAGTGTGTATGTGTGTGTGTGTGTGTGTGTGAGTGTGTGTGTGTGAGTGTGTGTGTGTATACTCACACACATGCCGAGGCCCTGCTCACGCCCTGCCCCGCCCCCCCCCCACTGCCCCATGCCCAGCGACCCCGGCTCGGACACAGACAGGTTCTACGGGGCTGTGGAGCGGCCTGTGGACATCAGTCTCACCCTGTACCCCACGGAAAATGAAGGTGAGGGCCCCTGCACCCCTTGGCTCCCCAGATGTCTCCTTTCAGGTGACAGCTCTGGCCCTTCCCTGCTGTTCCCTTTGGCAGAGTGACAATGCCTCTCTCAGTCCTCACACTCACGTCCCTCTCAGCCCACCCCACCCCGCCCCCCGCCCCCAGAGTGTTGTTCTGAGGCTCAGCGGGTCCTGGGTTGCTGTGTCTGACCCCCCTCACCCCCACCCCCACAGACTACGAGCATGATGATGAGGATGACTCCTACCTGGAACCCGACGCCCCTGAGCCCGGGAAGCCAGAGGGTAGGTAGGCGGTCCAGCTGGGATGGACGTCAGCGGCGTCCCAGGCCTGTTTCCCTGCTGTGGCCCAGGTGTTCCCAGGATCCTTTGGTAGTCCAGCAGGGCTGGTGAGCAGGGCGGGCAGGTGCTGAGAGGGTGCCCGTAGGCCTGGCCATGGCTGGGCTGAGGGAGGGGGCCTGGGCCTGGGCCGGGAAGAGGGAGTTGGCTCCTTTCCCTGTGTCCCCAGCTTCCTGAGGAGGTCTCCTGGGCCACCTGACAGGCAGCTTCCTGGTCCCTGGCCCCACCCCCGAGCTCGACCAGCGGGCGGAGCCACCCTGAAGCTTGCCCCCTCCCCCTGCCCTGGGCCTGGGTCTGCCCACTCGTTTTTTTGTGAGGTTACAGGCCTCATTGCCCCCATCCCCCATCCCCCTTGCTTCATAGGGATGACCCTCCCTGGGCCCCCAGCCCCCCTTGTCTCTCTTGGTCCCCTTGTTGCTGATCTCATGTCCTCTTGGTTGCACCTTATACCCCAACCTCTTCCAGCCCCCCTCCGCCTCCCCCAAGGCTCCTCCCTCTTCAGCCCTGGGCCCTGGGCCCTCAGCACCTTCAACCCTTCAGACCCCTGGGATTTGGCTCTCCGCTCCACAGCTGAGTCTGGGGTCCCCCACCCCCAAGGGGGCCCAAGTCCTCTGGCCACACTGGTCCCTGACCTCTGCTTCTACCCCTTAACATGGCCCCCCCAGCCCTGTCTCTCTGTTCACACAGAGCCCCTGAACCTGGGTCGTGCCCACTGCCCTCCAGCTGGCCCAGGCTGCCCCCCACCCCACCCCCTGCCCTCTGGCTTCCCCCAGAACTGCTCAGTGTCCTCAGGGACGCCCTCTGGCCGCAGCTAGAGCTCAGCTCTCCCCTCTTACTCTCTCCACTCCAGCACACATGCTCGCCAGGTCCCGTCCTGCTTCACCCTGCTGACCCCTCCGCTTTGTCCAGCCCTGCATCCCATCCTGGTCACTCCAGGTGACCGCTGTATTGCCCTGCACCACACCTCGCCAGCTAGGCTGGCCTACTGAGTGACTGCCCCCCAATCCACCCCCTGGGAACCTGTGGAGCACCCACTCGCTCCTAGCCCCCCCGCCCCTTAGCCCCAACCTCCAGGTGTGGGTCTCGTGACTTGGGGACGGCCCGGTGACTTGGCTGCCCTGTGGGCAGAGATGGGGTGCAGCTGGGGCGGGTGGAGCGGTCAGTGGGGGTACAGCCCTTCACCGTCTCTGTCTCCCTGGCCCGCAGACGCTCTGACTCAACCACCAGCCTACCCGCCGCCCCCCGTGCCCACGCCCAGGAAGCCGGCCTTCTCTGAGGTGCCCCGTGCCCACTCCTTCACCTCCAAGGGCCCAGGACCTATGCTGCCACCCCCACCCCCGAAGCGCAGCCTCCCGGACGTGGGGCTGATCCCGGAGGATGCCAAGAGGGAGCTGCTGCTGCGGCGGGTGGACCCCAGCCCCAGGGGGCCCACTGCTACCAGGAGGATGAGCGATCCCCCCACGGGCAGCCAGCCTGCCCCGCCCGGCATCCGGAAGCCCCCTGGCTTCCGGGAGAACACCTGCCCCAGCGTTGAGCCCCGGCACTCCAGCTATGGGACCAGTCCCACCTCTACCGGTGTTGAGCCCCGGCACTCCAGCTACGGGACCAGCCCCACCTCTACCGGCGTAGCCACCACGGAGGCCAGGAACTGTGACAAGCTGCAGTCGCTCCACCTGCCCCCACGGGGACCACCCGCCAGCGATCCCCCGCCCGTGCCAGGCAACAAGCCCACGTTTCTGAAGACAGCGCCAGAGGCGGGGGCCCCGAGGGACGGGGCCAGGCCCGGACTGTTTGTGCCTCCCGTGGCCCCCAAGCCTTCTGCCCTGAAGCTGCCCGCACCTGAGGCCCCCGCACGGCCAGAGAGGCCCCTACTGCCTCACCTCCAGTAAGTGTGGCCATGCTAGCGCCCACCTCCCTGCCCTCCGGGACCCTGGACCTGGACCCCCAGCCACCTGCACCCCTTGACCTGGTCCTCCCTACCTCCCCGACCCACCAGGACCCCTGACCTGGCCTTCCCAGCTCACCCTGCCCACCAGCACCCCTGCCCGGGCCCCCAGCCACCTGCACCTCCTTACCTGGCCCCTCCACCTCACACTCAGTGCATGACCCCCATCCAGAGGACAGCTCCCTTGTCTGCCCTGCCCAGTCAGGTCCTGTCCCCCACAGCAGACCTGGGGCTTTGAGAGCCTCTGATCCTGAACTTGGGTACATGGGATCCTAATCTAGAACTGGGCCGTGAGGGGGCCTCCAGTCAGACCTTGGGAGTAGGGGACCCTGATCCAGAGTTGGGGCATATGGGAATCTTTGATCTAGACCTGGGGCTTAGGGGGAGGGGGCTGATCCAGGAATAGGAGAATTTCTGATCCAAATTTGGGGTATAGGGAGGTTTGATTTAGACCTGAGGTACAGGGGACCCCATGATCCAAGCTGGTTCCAAAGCATTGGCCAGCCCAGTTGGGGCTTAGTCTGTAGCTGATGGCTGCTGTGGGAGGCAGTGGTCAGTGTGGTCTCAGGGACACAGGCCTCCTGCAGCCCTGGTTAACCATGTGGGGTCAGGGGTGGTCCCTGCAGGGCACCCTGCCTGCTCTGAGCCCAGCCCCTGGGACAGGCCATGGGACAGGTGCTCACATGTCTCTACTGGGCTTAGGGCGAGTCTCCTCTGGACTCTGGAGAAACCAGCTGTCTCTGCTCGCTTCCTGGGCTGGGCTGTGACTGGCTTGCACACACGTTCATGACTTCCCTGAGGCTGGACCGAAACGCTCTCTGTTCCGGGGGCTGAATTCCAGGTGGTGGAAGGCATGGCCCCAGAGTCCGCTTTGCCTCCCTCAGCCCCTACCCCCCAACCCATGAGGCTTGTGCTCAAAGATGACTCCCATCCTGCAAGGGGTGGAGCACCCCTCTCAGTGCTGTGGGGCTGCGGCTATTCTGAGAGGAGAGCCTCTCTCGCCTCTGACCGTGGTACCCACTGGGCCCAAATTCTTGCTGGTGTCTCGAGGGCCCTCTGTCCATCCAGGTGCCCACACGGGCCTGTTTCACCAGGGTGTCCAAGGCCCGGCCTCTTGGGAGCTACCCCTAAGCTGAGAGCCTGCCTGGCTGCATGCGCCAGGCCCGAGCATCCAGCAGGGTCCTCACGTATTACCCATGGCCCTGATCAGCTCGGCCTCACAGTGCCTGGGCCTCCTATGGTCTCCCTTAACCCACATGGTCCACCCACTGCCCACACCCTTGGCAGCTCAGCCCTTGTCCACCTGTGGCCCCGATTACTCCTCCCTGGAGGAACTTAGAGTCAGCCAGAAAATGCACCCATCCCCACATCTGTGGAAAGAGTCCAAAACTGGACAGAGGCAGCCCAGGGGAGGGGGTGTCCCCCACAGCCAGCACAGATGAAATCCCCATAGCTCAGTCCCCGGGCGCCCCACTCAGCAGCCGCGCTGCCCCCCTCAGGCAGCTGGTTGGAGAGCTCCAGGGCGGTCAGCGAGGCCCCGGCCAGAGGCTCTGTTGTCGCGGGCATTTTGCAGGGCAGGAGAGGACAGACGGAGGG